TGCAAAAATCCTCAACAAAACACTAACCAACAGAATCCAACAGCACATTAAAAAGATCATACACCATGATCAAGTGGGGTTTATTCCAGCAATGCAAGGATTCTTCAGTATATGCAAATCAATCAATGTGATAAGCCATACTAACAAAATGAAGCAGAAAAACCATATGATCATCTCAATAGATGCAGAAAAAGCTTTCGACAAAATTCAACACCCATTTATGATAAAAACCCTGCAGAAAGTAGGCATAGAGGGAACTTACCTCAACATAATAAAGGCCATATAGGACCAACCCACAGCCAACATCGTTTTCAATGGTGAAAAACTGAAACCATTTCCACTAAGATCAGGAAGAAGACAAGGTGGTTCCACTCTCACCACTATTATTCAACATAGTTTTGGCAATCCTAGCCACAGCAATCAGAGAAGAAAAAGAAATAAAAGGAATCCAAATCTGAAAAGAAGAAGTAAAGATGTCACCATTTGCAGATGACGAGATACTATACATAGAGAATCCTAAAGATGCTACCAGAAAACTACTAGAGCTAATCAATGAATTTGGTAAAGTAGCAGGATACAAAATTAATGCACAGAAATCTCTTGCATTCCTATAGACTAATGATGAAAATTCTGAAAGAGAAATTAAGGAAACACTCCCACTTACCATTGCAACAAAAAGAATAAAATACCTAGGAATAAACCTACCTAGGGAGAAAAAGACTTGTATGCAGAAAACTATAAAACACTGATGAAAGAAATTAAAGATGATACAAGCAGATGGAGAGATATACCATGTTCTTGGATTGGAAGAATCAGCATTGTGAAAATGACTTTACTATCCAAAGCAATCTACAGATTCAATGCAATCCTTATCAAACTACCAATGACATTTTTCATAGAACAAAACATTTCACAATTTGTATGGAAACACAAAAGACCCCAAATAGCCAAAGCAATCTTGATAAAGAAAAATGGAGCTGGAGGAATCAGGCTCCCTGGCTTCAGACTATACTACAAATGTACAGTAATCAAGACAGTATGGTACTGGCACAAAAACAGAAATATAGATCAATGGAACAGGATAGAAAGCCTAGAGATAAACCCGCACACCTATGGTCACCTTATTTTTGATAAAAGAGGTAAGAATATACAATGGAGAAAAGACAGCCTCTTCAATAAGTGGTGCTGGGAAAACTGGACAGCTACATGTAAAAGTATGAAATTAGAACACTCCCTAACACCGTACACAAAAATAAATTCAAAATGGATTAAAGACCTAAATGTAAGGCCAGAAACGATCAAACTCTTAGAGGAAAACATAGGCAGAATGCTCTATGACATAAATCACAGCAAGATCCTTTTTGACCCACCTCCTAGAGAAATGGAAATAAAAACAAAAATAAACAAATGAGACCTAATGAAACTTAAAAGCTTTTGCACAGCAAAGGAAACCATAAACGAGCTGAAAAGACAGTCCTCAGAATGGGAGGAAATATTTGCAAATGTAGCAACAGACAAAGGATTAATCTCCAAAATTTACAAACAGCTCATGCAGCTCAATAACAAAAAAACAAACAACCCAATCCAAAAATGGGCAGAAGACCTAAACAGACATTTCTCCAAAGAAGATATACAGATTGCCAACAAACACACGAAAGAATGCTCAACTTCATTAATCATTAGAGAAATGCAAATCAAAACTACAATGAGATATCATCTCACACCAGTCAGAATGGCCATCATCAAAAAATCTAGAAACAATAAATGCTGGAGAGGGTGTGGAGAAAAGGGAACCCTCTTGCACTGTTGGTGGGAATGTAAATTGCTACAGCCACTATGGAGAACAGTATGGAGGTTCCTCAAAAAACTACAAATAGAACTACCATACGACCCAGCAATCCCACTACTGGGCACATACCCTGAGAAAACCATAATTCAAAAAGAGTCATGTACCAAAATGTTCATTGCAGCTCTATTTACAATAGCCAGGACATGGAAGCAACCTAAGTGTCCTTTGACAGATGAATGGATAAAGAAGATGTGGCACAGATATAGAATGGAATATTACTCAGCCATAAAAAGAAATGAAACTGAGTTATTTGTAGTGAGGTGGATGGACCTAGAGTCTGTCATACAGAGCGAAGTAAGTCAGAAAGAGAAAAACAAATACTGTATGCTAATACATATATATGGAATCTAAAAAAAATAATGGTTGTGAAGAACCTAGGGGCAGGACAGGATTAAAGACACAGATGTAAAGAATGGACTTGAGGACACGGGGAGTGGAAAGGGTAAGCTGGGACGAAGTGAGAGAGTGGCATGGACATATATACACTACCAAACGTAGGGTAGATAGCTAGTTGGAAGCAGCCGCATAGCACAGGGAGATCAGCTCGGTGCTTTGTGACCACCTAGAGGGGTGGGATAGGGAGGGTGGGAGGGAGGGAGACGCAAGAGGGAGGAGATATGGGAACATATGTATATGTATAGCTGATTCACTTTGTTATAAAGTAGAAACTACCACACCATTGTAAAGCAATTATACTCCGATAAAGATGTTTAAAAAAAATAAATTTCGGCCTCACAACAGCCAGACGCAGGGGCAGGGGGAGGGGCTGGGAAGCGGTCCTGGGTACTCTTATCCCCAGAGTATGAGGCAGAGCAGCCGCTCTCCCACTCAGAGGAAGCGCCTCTGCCCTTGGCCAGGGAAGTGTCCCCCAGCCTCGCCCGGGGCTGTGATGTGGCCCCGGGGACTGGCCTCACACCCTGGAGCGTGGACAGGCCCTCCGCCATCCCGAGGGAAACAGTTATCTCCCTAATCAGAGGCGGGTGGCCAGATGCTTCCCTGGGGTCCCGAGGAGCATGGAGAATCCATCAGTGTCCGCGGCGGAGAGTCTGCAGGCTGGATGGACTTCCCTTCTGTTCCCGTGAGCTTGGCGTGTCTCCCGAGCGTGCTCACATGCAGCGGCAGCCGGCTGCTCTTCCCGGACCGTCCGTGTAGTCTGCGGAAGGAAGCGGGGGAGGCTCCAGCCAGGCCGCCCCCGCTGGACTGCAGCTCGCATCCCCGACCCCAGCCCCCTTGCTGGACCGAGCGCCTTTCACTCTCTCTCCCGCACGTGGGGTGCCGAGTCGCCCCATGCACTCCTGGACCCAAACCCTGTCGCGCCATCTGCAGGGTCTGCTGTGCCCAGAGGTGGGCTGGGCCGGGGCAAGGACAGTCGTGCCTCCCAGCCAGGACAGCAGCCAGGGAGTCATGGTTTCTGTATTGTCCTCTGAGCCCAGTCCCCACAGGGTGACCTGACGTGGGCCAGGCGACACCATACGTGTGTCTGTTGCAGGAGAGGAGCCGGGATCAGGGACCCGACTCTGCCGGGGGTAGTGCGCAGGCTGCCCTGCCCTGTGACAGCCGTGAAAAGGTCGCCTGGAACGAAGGGCATCACGGTCGCCCCCCGGGCTCTGCGGAGCCGGGGCTGGGTGCGCTCCCCACAGGCCGGTGCCAGCCCCAGCGCGGGGCTTCCTACGGTGGACATGCGGCTGCCACAGTTAGCAGACCTGTGTGCCCCGTCCCGCCGCCATGGTCCGTCCCAGGCGCCTGCACACCAGCTCCTCCTGTGGGTTTCCACCTCTGTCCCAAACAGCCCAGAACAAAAGCGGAGGCAGCCCGGCGCTGTGCTCCACGCGCAGAATCAAGTCCAAACTCGGTCCCGCGACCTTTCTAGCCGTGTGTGCCCCCGTGCCCTCTGACCCCGTGTGCCAGCCAGACCCCAGGCCTTCCTGCCCGTCTGCAGCATCCTGTCCCAGGCCAGCTCCGCAGTCCTCCATTCAGGTCGGGAAACACTTGTGAAAAATCATGGACGTGATCAGATTTATGCACTTAAAGCCTCAGATGTGTGAGTGTACGTGTGTAGGTACACGTTTTATATGTGTAGTTGAAAACTTGTTCTTTGTGCCCTCACTTCCCCGACCTCCAGCTCAAACCCCAGTTGGTGTCTAGCTGATGGCGTGTCAGCCCCGCCGCAGCGCGGGGCCTTCCCTCCACTCACCGTGCAGGTGCGAGGTGTCACCTCCGTCCCACCTGGCCCTTGGCTTTGGGAGCCGTGGCTCCCATGTCCTTCACCTGGAGTGGCCCTGTCTGGCTGGCCCTGCAGGACGCGTGTTGGGACCTGGCCTTGGGGGTGAAATGGGACGCGGCCCAGGAAGGCAAGGAAGGAGGGTCGGGACGGCCGGTAGCCTGGCCCGGAGTCAGCCTCCTAGAGGCTGAAAATCCCGCGCAGGAGGTTTCAAGTCCAAGACCGTCTGAGGCACAGCACCAGGGTGTTCCGAGGTTGTGTTTTAAATAAACGTCTGCAAAGCACACTGGGAGCGCCCTGTCACCTGACCTTTCACCTTCTTTCTATTTCTAAAGAATACTGTTTAGATATTCTCACCAGAGAATATCGTGTGTTCACTTTAGAAAATGCCAACAAGCAAACCATAGGAAATCAAAACCGCATACAGTTCCACACCCTGGAGATGGGACTGCATTTTGGACGTCTCTCCAGGGCATCATGCCAGCCTTACCTGCAAGGGAAATGCGTGTGTGTTTGTGCATGTGTATGCCTGTGAGTTTGTGGGTATGTTTATGCGTGTGTGTGAGAGCAGGACCCCAGGTGGGTGGGTGTCCACGGCGGGCTTTCGTGGCGGTGGGACAGGAGCACAGGAGGCCCGGGGCTAGGGCATGCGCTCAGTGCCCCCTGCGCTCCATCTGGGCTGCGGAGTGGCAGTGGGCACTGGAGTTGGCTCCCCACCGGGCCACCCCCTGGGCTCCGAGTCCCCTGCTGCGTCCCTGCCGCCAGAGCTGCTCCGTCTCCCCCCTCCCTCCTCCGGCAGAGGCCCGGGGAGGGGGCCCCAGCCCTGCCGCCCTCTGGACCCTGTGGGCCTGCTTCCCGAGGGCCGGGCGGGTGCAGGCACGATCAGACAGTTCCAGGCCCTGGAACCTGGACGCCAGAGCAACTGCCTTTTCTTCAGATTTTTATTTTTATTTCGAAGCAATGTCAAACATATTGAAAAGTTGCAAGAATAGTACCAAATTCTCCTTCACCCAGAGACCCATTTCTGTTTTGCTAATTGTCCCGGTAGCGTCGTTTACAGCGTGACAACCCACCCTGGGTTCACGTGCGCCCGGTGACCGTGTCTCTGTCCTCCCTCAGTCAGGAACGTCCCCAGTCCTCCCTGGGCTCCCATGACTGTGACATTGCTGAAGAGTGAAAAGTCCCCAATTTGGGTTTTCTGACACTTCCCAGACCTGGGCTAACCCTGGGGTAGCAGCTCATCTGGGTGTATCCTGTCCTGTCCACGGGCTGTGGCTGTGTCCCCATGTCACTCCTGGGGCGGCAGCCCTGGCCACCTGGGACCATGGCCCTGGAAAGGTGGTTCCTCTCTGTAATTCGCGCAGGTTTTGCGGGAACACGTGGGGTGGGTTCAGTTCACTTCCATGGTGGTCAGCATCTTCCAACGTTCTCACAGCCTGAACTCATCACTATAAATGTGATATAAACCAAACAGTGAATTTCTAGGCCCATCGTTCGTCAGCTGGAATTCCACTGTAGGGAGGAATTTTCTCTCTTCCCCATTTATTAATAATTAAATCTGTTTATGCCACTACATTCTCATTCCATGTAATGGGCTCTCGTCTGTTACTGTTTTTATTTGTTTCTTCTGATGCTCGAATTTGTCCCAGTGGGAGTTCCTTCAGGCTGGTCTCTCTGTCTTTTCAATACGTGCCCGTGTCTGTAGCATTTTCTTCCCAGGTTCGAACCCACAGCTTGCCCAGACCCCCTCCTTTGCACTGGACTCTTCCCTTTACCAGAGAGAAGCCAGGTCCCAGAAGCCTCCACACGTGTGCTCTTTGCTCAACCTGTGTGTAGCCAGGCTCCTGAATTTGCCCTGTCTGTGTGGCCCCCTCCCCTGCAGGTTCCTCCCTGCCCCATCCCTCCCCGCCCGATGTGGGCCTGAGCCCCACTGGACTCCCTCCCTGCCGGCTTCTCAGCAGCGAGGAGACACCTGGGGACCCGAGGGCAGATGTCCTCGTGTGGAAGAGGGGATGCTAGCTCTACGCCACCCCTGGGGGCGAGGGGCTCTGATGGTCCCAGGGCAGCCCACGGTCAGGCCGGCAATTGAGGAGGGGAGACTCTGGGGGCCGCAGGGGGACGGCAGGTGTAGGGTAGGGGCAAGGCCACGTCCTCGCTGTGCCCCGATCTCCGTGAGGCTGTTGGGGAGAACAGATCCAGGCTGGTCTGTAGACCCTGGGGCTTGGCCTCAGCCAAAGCTAATTTAAAGCATCCACTTCTAATCATTCTGGCCGCTCTGAGCAATGACTGGAAATGATCATATCTGTGACCATCTTGGCCTGGAAATGCTCCCCTGCGGAGGGAGTGGCCCGTGCCCGCAGCCAGTGTCACGGCTCCCGAGTGGGCCCAGGGGCAGGGCCTGGCATGACGGGGGCCCTCAGACTCTGAGGCGACAAGTAGGAGAGCCGGGTGGCCAGACAGCCGGTCCACTCGGCTCCTGGTGTGGCCACAGCTGCCCCAAGCGCACAGAGGCGCCTTGTTGCTTCCCGTCATGGCTCCCGGGCCCCACTCCATCCTCACTCTCAGCACAGGATCAGGTGTGGGAACCATTTCCCTTGGGGCTGTGTTTGACGTTTGACATTCATTCTGGACAAAGGGGCCCTGGGCAGTCTCCCCAGCACTGGCTCCCTGCAGGGCTTCCTGACACCCAGCTAACCCCAGCCACCTCCCCGTCGCCACCTTCCCCTCAGGGCACCAGAGGAAGATGGAGCTGCGCACACATGCACACAGACAGCAGGAACACACGGGCACTCACCTGCACACACACACCAAGAACATGTACATGCACAAATACACAAAAAGATGGACGTCTGTGCACACTGGCAGGTGCGGAATCCATTCCTCAAGGGCATTGGTGCGTAGGCACGTGCACACACACGCGCACACTCACGCGCACGCACGGCCCCACAAGCCCCAGCAGAGCTTCAGTCTCTGTGAAATCAGGCTTGCCGTGCCCGTCCCCGCCTGCTGCCCGCTGCACGGCCCTGCCCTGGGCTGGGGCTTGGAGGGAGCGGGACCCGAGTGCGACCCGAGATGCTGCCAGGCTGGCAGGACGGAACGTCCCCCAGCCACCAGGGCTCAGCGGGAGGGGCAGCAGGGCCGGAAGGGGGGTCCTGCGTGCTGCCACGCTGCCCTCCATGCGGATCCAACGCCTTCCCGGAGAGGCGGATAACCACGGGGCTGGGAGCGCATTGTTGGACCCGGCCACCAAACCGCAATTCCGCAGCGGAGAGCCGGGCCTGTGTGTTTACAGCAGGCTGGGGCAACGGGAAGAGGCTCTTGTAAACATCGCAGGAAAATTGCAAAATCGAGCTTTCCAGCATCCCAATGTCCACGGGGAGGGAGGACCCCGGGGGCCGCGCTCTCAGAGGGCAGCGTCTCTGCAGGCCGGCGGTGGGCGCCCTCAGGACCTGGGCCGGGCTGAGGTCATCTGAGGATAAACCCGCCTGCCTCGTGCGGCTGGGCTGGTGAAAAGGGATGAAGCTCAGCGGGCAGGGGTCTGGCCCTTGAGGGAGGGCTGAGCAGCCCCAGCGCCCCTCTAGCCGAGCCCCCTCCTCCAGGCATCCTCACCCCTCCCTCTGCAAAGGGGCCTGCGGTCTGCAGGCAGCAGCGTGCTTAGGAGAAAGCTTTCTGGTCCTCAGCCTGTGGTGGGCTGAAAACTGCCCCCCGCCCCCCAGTATCCACCTTCAATCCCTGGAACCCGTGACCGTGACCTTATAGAGTCCTGGCTAAGCAAAGGCCCTCGAGATGCATTCGTCTGGGATTATCCAGGGGGCGCTAAAAGCTGTCACCAGCGTCCTCGGGAGAAAGGAGGACGCCCCAGCCCGGGACCCAGGAGCTGCAGAGGCCTCGCCCCACGCAGACAGAGGGCTGCCAGGGACCCACGTCCGTGGTTTGAGCCCCGGTTTGTAGTCTTCGTTGGGGTGACTGGGTCACTGAGCGCCTCTCCCCTCTGGACTGGAGACACACGTTTTGCTCAAATTCTTCTAAACTAAAGGTGACAGCATGAGGGGACGGTCAGGCTGCTCAGAGAAAAGCCCACCTGACTCTTATGTGAGAAAATTAACTGCTGACCTGTTTTGGTAAGGCCAGCGCCAGAGGAGAGACGGGTGGCGCCAGGACCGACCTCACGACAACCCCTGACCCCCGTGGACCAGCTTCCTCCCTGACCCGGGGGGCTAGGCTCAGGACACCCGCCTGGCTGTAAACTCAAGTGCACACCTGGGTCCCTGATCGCAGCCGGCATCACATCCTGCACCTGCTTGTCCCCAGGTGGGGAGCACAGGGTCCTGAAAGGGGAGAGCAACCTGACTGAGGCCAAAGGGCTGCTCAAGGGGAACCAGCCTCTTCCAGGAAGGTCCGGGCCTCCAGCATTGCCTTGGCTGGAGATGCTGAGCTCTGTCCTGGTGATGGAGCTGCTGCAGGACCACGCGTGAGCACGCGAACACACACACACATATACACACCTGCATGCACCTGCACAGAGGCTCACACGCAATCACACACGTTCTTACGCTGACACACAATCACACAAGCCTGCACAGACGTGAACATGTGCACGCACTCCTGTGCATGCACTTGCACACACCTGCACACATCTGCACACGCACACACCTTCAGCGTGTCCGCAGGAGGAGGTGGCTGAGGGGACGGTCCAGGCTGAGTGACAGAACACAGGTGTGCAGGGCGCAGCGGGGCAGGCGGGGCAGCCCGTGCTCCATCTGCTTCAGATGCTGAAAGTGGCCAGACCATCGGCTTCCAGGGTGTGTCGGCGCAGGTGGAGCTGGCTGAGTGCCCTGGGGCGAGAGACGGGGTCCTGCGCAGGATGAGGACCCCCACACCGGGGAGCTCCCTTCCTGTCTGCTCCTGACCCCCGCTTTGCAGCCCAGCACCCTGGCCTTTCCCAGAGCCAGCAGGACAAGACTAAACAACCTCGTCCACTTCTCATTTCCTGAAAAATCCTTTCTGCCAAAGTAAATAGATGTCTGTCAGCTGCTCAGTCGGCCACAGAAGCCCTGGTCCACCCCAGAGACAGAGGCAAACAATGAAACGATGGAAGAGCAGGGTGACACCTCGTGGGCCGCGGCTCCTCTGAGACCTGCTTCCGACTGTGGAGCAGGTAGGAGTTGGCTCCCCAAGCCCTGGAGGCAAGAAGCATCAGATCAAGCAGAGGGTTCCTTCCGGGGCTGCAAGGTGCCCCAGGAGGCTTAGAGTCTCCAGGAAACTTGGCGGGAAGGCTTTGCACCAGCCCATCTGAACGAGCCCAGCCTCAGGCTGCAGACCCTATCAGAGGCCCTGCGCACCCACTCCTCCAACCCCCGGTGGGACCGGCAACAGAGCAAGGGTCCTGCCCCCAAGGATACTGGTGCTCCTAACTGATCTGCAGCTCTGGGTCCCGTCCAGATTGGGGGCTTCCCCCCTCAGCTCAGAGCACTGGCCCCAGTCCTCCCCCCAAAGACCACTCTGCAAGGTCCCCTTGGTGGCTCGTTCCCGTCAGGGAGGGTGGAGGTCAGGACAGCAGAGGACTTTGCTCCACAGCCCAGGACTCCAACTACAGAGATATCAGCTCTCCCGATACTGATTCATACATTAAAAGCAATAATTCCCCCACACCTTAGCCAAATTCCCCCCAATTTTTGATGGAACCCGACAATTAGAAACACTAAGTGTATGTATAAGAAGAACCAAGACAGTTCTGAAAAGTAACGAGGAAGGCAACTCAATACTGAAGGGGAAGAGCGAAGTTGGAGGAGTGACAGCATCTGACTTCAAGACCTACTCCAAAGCTACGGTAATCAAGACAGTGTGGCATTGGGGGAGAGACGGACAAATAGAGCAGTGGAGCAGAACAGAGAGCCCTGCACAGATAGAGTCACCTGATCCTTGACAAAGGAGCAAAGGCAAAACCAAGAAGCAAAGGCAGACTTTTCAACCAATGGCGCTGGAACCACCAGAAGTCACTATATCTAGACTCACACCTTACGCCCTTCACAGAAATCAACTCACAGCGGATCACAGACCTAAATGTAAAATGCAAAACTATGAATCTCCTAGAAGATAACATGGGAGAAACTCTTGATGACCTTGGATTTGGCAATGACTTTTTAGATACAGCACCATAGGGATAATTGATGAGTTACCACTACACACCTCTTAGGACGTCCAGAACACAGACAACATCAAATGCTGGCGAGGCTGTGGAGCAACAGGAACCCTCATCCCTGCTGGTGGGAACGCAGATGGTGCAGCCGCTTTGGAAGACAGTTTGGTGGTTTCCTATAAACCTAAACACACTCAGTATAGAATTCAGCAATCGTGCCCCATGGTATTTATCCCAAAGAGTCGAAAACTATGTTCATACACAAGGATATTTACAGCAGCTTCATTCACAATTCTCAAAGCTAGGAGCCAACCAAGACGTCTCTCAGTAGGTAAATGGGTAAATAAACTGTGGTCCATCCCGACAATGAAATATTATTCAGTGCTAAAAAGAAATGAGTTATCAGGCCGTGAAAAGACGTGGAGAAAACTTGAATGTATATTATTAAGTGAAACAAGCCAATCTGAAAAGGCTACATACTATATGATTTCATTCTGTGACATTCTGGAAAAGGCGTATCTATGAGACAGTGAAAAGATCAGGGGCTGTCACAGGGCTGGGGGGGGGAGGGGTGAACAGGTGGGGTGCAGGGTATTTTTAGGGCAGTGAAACTGTCCTGTGGGATCCCATAAGGGTAGATACGTGTCATTGTACACTGGTCAAAACCCACAGAATGTCAACACCCTGCACTGCTGGTGGGAATGTAAATTGCTACAGCGACTATGGAGAAGAGTATGGAGGTTCCTTAAAAAACTACAAATAGAACTACCATACGACCCAGCAATCCCACTACTGGGCACATACCCTGAGAAAACCATAATTCAAAAAGAGTCATGTACCAAAATGTTCATTGCAGCTCTATTTACAATAGCCAGGATATGGAAACAACCTAAATGCCCATCATCAGATGAATGGATAAAGAAGATGTGGCACAGATATACAGTGGAATATTACTCAGCCACAAAAAGAAACGAAATTGAGTTATTTGTAGTGAGGTGGATGGACCTAGAGTCTGTCATACAGAGTGAAGTTAAGTCAGAAAGAGAAAAACAAATACTGTAAGCTAACACATGTATATGGAATCTAAAAAAAAAAAAATGGTACTGATGAACCTAGTGGCAAGACAGGAATAAAGACATAGACATAGAGAAAGGACTTGAGGACACAGCAGGTGGGGAAGGGGAAGCTGGTGCGAAGTGAGAGTAGCATCCACATACATACACTACCGAATGTAAAAGAGATGGCAAGTGGGAAGCAGCTGCATAGCACAGGGAGACCAGCTCGGTGCTTTGTGACCACCAGAGGGGTGGGATGGGGAGGGTGGGAGGGAGACCCAAGAGGGAGGAGATGTGGGGATATATGTATGCATAGAGCTGATTCACTTTGTTATACAGCAGAAACTAACACAGCATTGTGAAGCAATTATACTCCAATAAAGGTGTATAAAATAAAATAAAATAAAAAGTCATTGCCATAAAAAAAAAGAGTGAACCTGATGTAAACTAAGGACTCTGAGTGGTCACGATGTGTCGATATAAGTTCATTGACTGTAAACACTGCACTCTGGTGGGGGACATTGATAATTGGGTAAACTATGTGGGTGTGGGAGAATCTCCAGACCTTCTGCACAATTTTGCAGTGAACCTAAAACTTCCCTGAAAGCCTATGAAAAAAAACAACCCCAAAACAACAACAACAGACCAACTAAGAAGAAGAAGTTGTCTTAATAGACATCTGGACACACAAGAAAACCAGAGTAAATAAACAGGGACTTTTGGTTACAGGAATAAAGAAATAACTCAATGGGACAGAATCGAGAACGCAGAAAAAGTTTCCTGCATCTGTGGGAATTCTGTACACGGGGGGAGGGGCATCTCAAATAAGGAGAGAGGATGGAAGAATGGAATAATTATATGTGGAGTCAGACCATCCTCACATCACTCAAAAAATATGTAAAACCAATGACGTGAGCGGCAGAAGGGAACTGGGAAGAGCCGGGTTTTGACCCTGGAGTAGGAACAGCTCCCCAAGCCGGGACACACCCACACAGGCCAGGAAGGAGCAGATGGGTGAACCGGAGGACAGCAGAGGTTGCATTTTTATGAAAAAAGACCCCATAAACAAACAAAAGGTAGGTGACAGACGGGATGACTGTCAACACTAAGGACCTCAACCTCATGGAAACGAGGGGAAATGTCAGCAAAGAGGAAAAGTGTGACCACCTGAAGCTGTGGCAGGAGCGGGTGCTGGCGGCCGGGTGGCCCCGTGGTTTCCAGCCGTGACTGCGGCCTCGGGGCCTCCTCTCTCTCGGTATCCGGAGCCACGGGGGCAGTAAAGACGTCCATCTTTGTGCCCACATTCTCCATGCAGTCCCTCTGCCCTGCCCTGTCCTTTGATTCTCAGTGTAAAGCCAGCTGTTCTTGGATCCAGACACAGAAGTGGAGCTCCTGTATCCACGCCCTCGGGCTGCGCTGAGAGGCCGCCGCACCCCTGGGTGCAGCTAGAAATGCAACATGGGGAGCAGGCGGGGCTGGCACTCCCGCTGGGATGCGCCCTCAGGTCTGCCAAGCTCGGAGAAGGCGGGCTGGGGAAAGAGCTGGCATGGGCGTGCGTGGGCGTCCCTGCGCCGAGGCGGCAGTGCCGCTGGACGCTTCCTGGGTGTCCATCCTTGGGCGCGTGGGCCCCAGCTCTCTGTCAAGAGCAGAGTCTGGCTCAGCAGATCGGGGTGGGACCCCAGGTGCTGCGTTTCTACCCAGCCCCAGGGAGGCCCAGGCTCCCTCGAGGGGACCGCCCCCCCCCGTTGCTGCTGCCTTATATACCCACCACCAGAGGGACGCGCGGAAGACGAAACGTCGGGGGCGGGTGCGCGTGCTCACCGGGAGAAGCCCTCTTCTCTTACTTGGCACCTGAGAACCTAGTTTGGGAAAGCATCCCGGGGGGAGGGGGGAAGGACAGGCCCCCTGCCCGCGGGTCACGGCCATGAAAAAGCATTTCCTGTCCCACTCCTGTGGATTGGCTTCAATTCAAGGGGACCTGCTTTAGCCCGGACGCTGCCACCCTGAGCCTTTGATAGCGCTATCCGCCTCCTTATGGGACCTGGGGTGGCCGCTGTGTCCCCACCCCCATCTCTCGGGTCCCCCAGCTGTGGAGGAAATGGACGCATTGAGACGGAGGCCAAGCCCGGCCCTTCAGATCAGGCTGAGGGCGCCCAGGGTGGGGCTGGGGTCATGGTCGCCAGACCCTTGTTCCAGGTGGCCCGGAGAGAAACCCACCAGAGGGGGCATGTCCTGGTGGGGGCCAGGGGGCTCCCCACAGCCTCCGAGGCAGCCCACTGCCTGTGGGTGCTGCCAGGGGCCGGTTCTGGAGGCTCGCCGCCCAGGACGGGGCCCCTGCGGACAGTCCCCTGGGGGCCACAGTGCCCCTTCCCGCTTCAGAAGCTCCCAGGTCCTTGCGTGAAGCGGAACATTTCCCAGGTTTGGGTGGCGGCCGCTGCTGCCCTCACCCCCGGGCTTGGGGCCGCCCGCTCCCCCCTGCCCATAACCTCCCATCACCCACACCCCGAGCCCCTTCCCAAGTCCAGGCTGCCCGCCTCTCTCTGGAGCAGGCTTTCTGCCCCCTGCAGCGGCCTCTGGCCTGGGCTGGCGTCATCCGGGTCGCCCCGGGCTCTCGGGGACACGGGACGGCATCTCCGAGCGGCCGGCACCAGCCTGCGACCAGCTCTTACCCAGCTCCCAGGACGCTGGACCCCCACGTGGTCCAGCCCCTCACCCGGATCCCTGCCCACAGTGGCGGCCCAGCGACTGGTGCCCCCCAGAGCCTGGAGACGTTGGTCCCCAGGTGCCCCCACCCAAGGCACATCCCACAGAGGGGCCCGGGCCACCCTCTGGCCTGCTGGGGCATCACCTGGTGGGCGCCTCCATCCCCCCACCCCGGACCCCAACCATCCTCCCTGACTCACAGCTGGCTCAGGCCCCCTACAGAAGAGTGGGGGGCCGGGCGCAGAGGGGGACCAAGCTGGGGGCAGGCACAGGGCTGCGCAGCTGCCGCCCCTCCCTGGTGACCACTGCTATCTAATGCGGGGACCCCTTCCATCACACACCTGCCCAGAAACACTGCGTGCCCTTGGGTCTCGTTCAGGGATGCCAGAGCCCTGGGGTCCAGGGAGCCTCTCAGCCCCTCCTTCGGTCACCGTGGCCTCCAAGTGGCCACCAGCTGCTGACCTCCACCAATGGCGCGCAGGGCCTGAGCTCTCCGAGGGAGCCCCGCCCCAGGGCAGATGTGAGCACAGGGATCTGGATGGCTTGGACGGGAGGAGAGGCCCCTTCTGGGCTCTGGGTTGAGGCCTGGGTCTGCCTTGGGGGTTTCAGAGGAGGGGAGGAGGGTCCCCTCCAGCCCCACCCCAGCCCCTCCTACCCTCACCCCTGTGCCCCTCAAGCCTCACCTTGGCCCACCCCCCCGGCTCCTGCCCAGCATAACCTGTGCTCTGGGACCCCCTCAGGGTCTGTGTGTGCCCTGACAGTTCTCCAAGGCTGGGCTCCGGGATTTGGGGTCCCTCCTATCCTGAGGTGGAGTCACTGCCCCCCTGTCCCGAATGGCCAGTGGCCAGCTGGACAGGACGTGGCCCAACGTCCTGCAGATCCCGGGCACTGGGCGGCCTTCCTTGGGTGGGAGGGCAAGCGGGGCTGTCGATGACTCGTTTCTGAGTCAGGCCAGGGTCAGAGGGCACCAGACGGCTGGCCTTTCATGGGCACAGAAGACAGGGAGGGGCACCAGGCCTTGAGTGGGAGGGGTGGCGTCAGGGCAGGGGGAGGGTGTGAGTGTGTGTGAGCGAACGCCAGTGTGTTCAAGCCTGTGTTGGTGCAAATGTGAGTGTGAGCGTGTGTGCCGGTGGAAACAGGTAGACAGGACGTGGGTTTGAGTCTTTTATGTGACAAAGCCCTCCGAGGTGTCAGATCTGAAAACTCGAGACCCCAGCCCGCCGGGGGTCCCTCACCAGGGTTCCTGGGTGGGACCCGGGGTTTGTGACACTGGATGCGTGAACGTGGCGGTGGCTTCTGGACGCAGCTGGACACTGCTATCTAGTGCCCCGGTGGGGAAGCACCACCGCGAGATGTGCCGAGGCTGTGTGTCAACACGACTGGTTTATAATCCTTTGTGTTTGGTTTTATGCATTTTAAAACAGCGTTCTGAGAGCAAACACGCTTCTCCAGACGGCCAGAGGGACCATGGCTCGGAAGAGGCTCAGAGGCCCTGGTCTGGCCCCGTCTGCACCGAGCAGTGCCCGGTGGGCAGCGACCGGCCCAGGTGGGGCCGGGACAATAGCCCACGTCTGCATCTGCGGGCCTGCGGCGCCTGCCCCCCTCTCCCCTCCCTCCCCTCCCTCCCCGCGGCCCCCAGGAGGAAAGAAGCCGGTCTGCGCTGGACCAGCCTCTGGTCTGGCCTCCCCAGCACTCTCCTTGGGACCCTGGCGCCAGCCCGTCCAAAGGCCAAGCCAGGAGGCTATTCTGGGAGCTTGTGAGGAGGCCCCGGGAGCTCCTTATAAGGCAGCCTGGTGCTGTCTGAGCCCGAGGTCTGCTCTGCACCCCGCCTGCGTCCGGGCCTGACGGCTGCAGAGTCCTCCCTGCCCTTACCCACTTGACCCGGGCGTCCCAATTCCCTCCTGTCTCCAGTGACGCTCTCCTGAGGTTTAAATGAAATTTAACCAACATCTGCCCCTTGGGGGCCCTCAGGAGAGAAGTGGGGAGCAGAGCCCCCAGCTGGCCAGGCTGGTCCCCCACATCCTCATGTGAAGCGCCTGGCCCCAGCTGAGTCACCGGCATTTGCAGACTCAGCCGTAGAAGCCGCTGGTTCCGGCTTATTTTTAGAATCTCTTTACCAGAACACCTGGGTTGGGCCCAAATAATACATGTATCTCAGCGGTTCAAAAATATAACTTGATGGCCAGTCATTCACCCGGGAGACAATGCCCAGTGAGTGAGCCTGGCGAGGTGCTTCCTGAGATGTGTGCGTTCCCCTCACCCGCTGTGCAGGGCCGGGGCCCGGCTTGCCTGGATGTGTCCCCAGGAGGACATGCCGGAACCGGGTCACCCCATCATTTCTGCTCTTCTTTTCAAAGGGGGCCGGGAAAAACATGGCGCTAGAAACGTGAGACCAGGACCAGGCTGTAAGGTCTTCCCAGAGAGGGTTTATGGCTGGAGCCCGGCCCCGGCCTTGAGCCTGGCGCCCGTGGCGCTCTGCTGGCACTGGCGCTGGGTGTCCAACGTGCAAACAACACGAGGAATGCGCGCGTGAGCGGCGGGTTGTCGTTGGGGCCCCGCATGGCGGGCAGAGGAGGCTCTCACACCAGCCGTGCCCAGGCGGCCGTGCAGCCATGCCCAGCATGGTCCTGCGGTGGCAGCTGCCCAGGCGTGTGGCGTGACCACCTGCGTGTGGCAGGCCCGGGACACGGGGTGAGGCAAGCACGCGAGGTGCTTCCCAAGTGTGTCCACAGGATGAACGAGGCCGGCCTTGCTAGGAAGTCCCCAGGAGCAGTAGGTGACAAGGACCGGTTGGCCCCTCCCCTCGTCCCCAGTTTGAGGCTGAGCCCTCTGGACCTCGCCAGGCGGCCCCTGGCATCACCAGGAGCCCCTTAGGGACGCGGCTCAGCCCTGGCAGCACCTGCTCTCTGGGCTCTGCCAGCTGACTGGCTCGGCGGGGCAGGGTCCCCCGGAGGCCAGGCTCTGAGACGGCTCCCTCGCGGGGACTCAGGCCATGGCGGCTGTCGGGTGTGGGCTCGGCCCAGGCTGCAGGGCCGACGCACCCACGCGAGGCCACTCCACGTGATTCCTCTTCTCCCAGCACGTGGCTGGGCCTCAGAGCTGGTGTCCTAGGAGACCCAGGTGGACGCCCACGACTCCACACGGTGTGAGCTTGGGAGCCCCCAGCCCCCTGCACACACCCCGTCCCGCTCAGCTGTACCCTCTCCATCAGGCCATCCCACCCCCCTCGGTCCCCGCACGTTCAGACCCGGGTCCCCAGTCCGCCTTCTCTGCAGCACACACCACCTGTAATACAGGACGCGCTACCTGTGTCAGGCCTAGGGCTCGTGGCTCGCCCCCGCTCCTGGGTGGCTGGAGATCTGTGTCTGCTTCGCTGGCGGCTGCGTCCCGGGTGCCAGAGCCTCCCCCGCCCATGGACTGAGCCAAGGCCGCGTGCGACCAGCAGACGTTACACCCGGAGTACGATCCTCGGGGCTACTGCTTCGGTGCGATTGCAAACGCTCAACTCACCTGGCTGACCACTGACTGGCTGGGCGCTGACCGCCTGGGCCAGGCTCTGGGGACTCAGGGGTCCTGCTGTCCTCCCTCCCCCTCCCCCGACCACAGACCACTCTCCAGGCCTTCCACAATCCAGGTGCTCGGGACGCTGTGCCCCCTGCAGACCTGGCCTGTGTGGGCTCAGCACTGGCTAGGGCGTGTCCACCCTGCCCCTCCCTCACCAGCCAGCGGCTAAGGGAGGCGCCTGGGCTTTCATGGTGTCAAAATCCCCAGCTTGACGATTATGGTCTAGAAGGTGCTGCGCCTATGAGATGCCCTTGTGACCTTTGCACGCCACTGCCGTGTTGTCCTTATGGTGTGAACCGCCCTGCCGCAGCCCGCGGACTGCTGAGGCGCTTGAGGCGCTAAGTAGGAGCTCAGCAAGGGTTTCAGCCAAACAGGGGCAGCCCTGGGGGGAAGCTGGCCTTGCTGTTCCTCTCCTTCTGGGGGAACCTCGGGATGAGAAGTCCCTGAGTGTCTGGCAGACGCCGGCCCACCTGCAGGGAGGTTGCCCAACGGCGCCGAGGTCCTGGGTTACCGTCCTGCAGGACCCTCACTCCCAGCCCAGCCACCCAAAGGGGTCCTGGCAGGGCCATGTGGGCTGGGCCCTGGGCCTCTCAGGGGTGCTGGGATCACCCCTCCTGGCTGGATCGCAGGCTGGGGTCACCAGGGTCACCCGCCGCTTCTCACCTGCTCTGTGGGAACACTGCACACCTTCTTTCCCATGACAGGTTGGGTGCTGCCGTGCCGGGCCTGAAGGTCTCCGGCCCCCGGCTGGTCAGCCTCCAGGGCACCACCCACCCCTGGGCGGCCGCCTAGCGGGCTCATCCCTTCCGCCTTCCAAACCTGCTGTCCCCTGGCCTGTTGGTTCCTTCAGACGACACCGCAGGCCGCCCTGCCCCGGGGGCAGCAGGGTTGTGGGGGAGGGCAGTGAACGGGGAGCCTGCGCTCGGGGAGGGGGTGGCCGGGAGCCAGACCGTCCGGGGAAGCAAAGCAGTCCAGTGAGGGCTCAAGCAGGGAGACGGCAGAGCCAGCGCAGGGGGGGACACGGCTCAGACGCCGACGAGTGAGGGACCGTCCTGGCAGACATCGGGACACTTGGCTCAGGAATGGGGACGGGAAAGGCACAGACCCCAAGGCCCGGCCCTCAGAGCGTGGGCTGTGTCAGAGGCACCGGGGCTGGCAGCCGACCCCGAGGGCTTTGCGGTTTCCTCTGAAGAAAGGGCCCCTGCAGAGGGCTTGAGAGGAGCTGAGACCTCACCTGCTTAAACACCTGGCTGCCTTTGCGAGGAGAAGGTGGGGGGATGCGGGGGGAGGCAGGGAGACTGGGAGGGGGAGAAAGGTGCTGGGGGCCAGGTGCGGGGCAGCCAGGTTCTGGAAGGGTTAGGGGGGTGCAGCATGGGGGCTTGCCGATGGATGGGTAGGGGCAGGCAGGAGACAGAGCCTCCCTGCACAGACTCAGGGATGGGCCCCGGTGGGGCGGGGAGGGGCACTGAGGCCTGGGGCAGGATCGGCTCGCGGCGTGGTGTGGGTGAGGTCAGTGGACCCGGGAGCAGGGCATGTGCTGTCTTCTCCCAGCTCTGCCCCGAGATCCGCTCTGGCTGGCACCTGGCTCCCCCAGGCCCCCTCACTCCCGCCGTCCTCCTGCCTTCCCGCCTGAAGCCGCAGTCCCGCCCCCCAGGCCCCCTCCCCCGATGCCCCTACCCCTAACCGCAGCGCCCCAGCCTGGCCTGTCCCCCACCTGCCGCAGCCCCATCGAGCCAGCCCCTAAGCTGTGACCGAGCTCCATCGCGGAGGACCCGGGCGGGTGGCGGGGGGGATGAAGAAGTTAATAACACACATTTCCAAGTTGTGTGAGACCTGGAGCTGGGAAGGCCCAGAGCAGGGCGGGGCTCCGGGCAGCCGGGCCACAGGGAAGGTCCTCCCGTGGGTGGAGGGACAGGCCCCGGGGGCAGTTAGAGAAGGTCGTGTGTCCGAAGAGGCAGGGCTGCAGGCCGGGCAGGGCCAGCGCCTTCTCTCCCTCAGACTAAACGCCCCGTTTCCTGAGAACCCCGTCCCGGCCACACCACTGTCACATCCGACCTTGTCCCTAGGATCAGACCACAGCCCTCCGCCTGCGGGGGGCGTCCAGCTTCACGTCCACGGGGAGGCTGGTGCCGCATGGCCGACGCCTGGGCCATTGGGGCTGCGCAGGATGGGGCTGGGAGTGGCTGCCACGCAGAGCCTTCACACAGGCCCTTCCAACCTGCACAAGGGCACGTCCTGGCAAGACGCCTGTTTCCCCACCGCTCGTCAGACATCTGTGTTCCTGACCTAACTCAGCGAGGACCCTCCTGTGCAGCACCACGGGGGCCGTGGCGCTGACCCTGTACTTGCAGCTGCTGACCTCTTCCCAGGCTCGAGGTAGACAGTGCCCCTGGGTTTCCGTCCTGCCTGTACCTGGCTGTGTGATGCCACCTCTCCCCCGTGGCTGTGGTCCTCTGGGCTGTGTTCCCCCCATGGGCTGTTGTCCTCCGTGGGGGGCTCTGGTCCCCTAGGGGCCGTGGTCCCTCGTGCCCTCCGAGGGGCTTGGTCTGGACCGCCATGTCCCGTGGTTCTGCAGCC